ATAAGTATTTTGGTATAAAGACTTAAGGGTATTCTTTTTGGCTGCTTGCAGAAATCTTTTGGGGGACCATTTCAACTTACTTTTTGTTTTATAAATACCTTCCACAGAGACAAATAGGCATTATTTGATTACAAAGACTACTGAATTTTGAGAAAGAAATCATTAAACATTGTACCAGGGCTATGAACAATATTGTTTAATTACCTATTAAGAATGAAAAACACATTACTAAGAAAAAGTCCAATATGATTTAGTTTCCTGAAGCTAACCTACATTTCTCATTCCCTATTTTTGGTGCTCTGTAAGACTTCTTTCCTTTCTTAGTTATGCTTTCTGGTTTTGTGTATATATTTGACATGTCTCCTTAGGTAGATATAAATTACTGAAGGACAGAAGCTATGATTTGTATCAAAATATTATGTAGTACTGAATATGCAATAGGTGCTTAATGCATTTTATACCACCCTCCAAATGTAAATGGCTGTCAAAAGATAACTACTTGAAAGAATAGAAGTTCTGTATTAGAAAATACTAATACTATAAAGGGTTATCATACTGTAGAAAAATTAAAAAGGGGGAGCTTTAAAAACCTTTAATAAAACTAATCAAATGCAGACCACTAGATAATGAAGATATAAGTTCAGTAAAACCCAAATTTCTACTGTACGTGTCTTTTGTGGGGTGTGTATATTTTAAGCTGCATCTTATTATGGATATTAAGCTTTAAGTTAGCACATCAGACAAAGTCTGAAAATCACTTCCATTGCCTATAAAAAACAGTACATAAAATGCCATAAGCATTACTACATGAGGTCTGCCAGCCACGGAACTAGACTAAAGTCAGAAACATAAGGAAAGTTCTTATGCACAAGTATGGCCATTTGAAATATTCTGCCTTTAAGATATTATAACAATTAGACTCCTAGCGGTGAGCTTTGGGGGTGAAGAATGTATTCTCTTTTTCCTGACGGGTTTATTCCCTTTTCTTTAAGTCCCTAGGACCTCAATACATTTGACTACGTTTGTTCTTGTAAAGATAAAACAAGATGGGAGAATCGTAGTACTTAAACATAGTATAAAAATTAAATGCAGCTCTGATATATCTCCAGTGTAGACAATTTCACCAGGAAACTGAAACTGTAACTTGAAATATCCTGTGGTCTAGGTGAGCGATTTCAAACTGTGCCCCCTGCGCATCTGGCTGAAGTGGGGGAGTAGGGTGCTGGAACTGAGTGGTGGGCCCTCAGTTCCTGGGGCAAATGAAGCAGTTTCGGTTTCATCTTTTCTACTGTTGGTCTTTTGAATAACATTTATTGGGTCTTCAGAAAAGTCATGATGTATTTTGTCTATGTTTTTCGAAGGTCATTTATTTATATAAAGAACAAAGATCAATCAATGATATATTGCCCATTTTGTTCGATAACCTTTCGCCATCTTTCAGTGAGCTTCATAATTCCTCGTTCGTAGAAGGCCTGTCTTTATTTGAGAAAAACTGAACAAGGTGCTGATTTACAGCCTCATCTGAATTGAATGTTAGACCACGCAGTTTTGAAGAGAGCAAAACAAGTGGAAGTCTGACGGCGCAAGGTCAGGCGAGTATGGTGGGTGTGGCAACACATCCCATCCAAGCTCCTATAATTTTTGACAGGTGATCAAACTTGTGTGTGGTCTCTCGTTGTGGCGATGAAATGCAACTCCTTTATGATTAACGAGCTCTGGATGTTTCTGGATGATGGATTCATTCAAACTGTCCAATTGCCGACAGTACGCATTCGAATTGATTGTTTGGTTCCTTGGTAGGAGCTCAAAAAACACAACAGCTTTAAAATCTCACCACACTGAGAACATAGCCTTCCTCTGATGAATGTCTGCTTTCAATGTCATTTGAGGCGAATCATCACATCGGGACCATGACAGTTTGCACACCACATTGTTGTAAACAATCCATTTCTCATCACTATTAGCAGTTGCTTCAAAAAAGGATCGTTGTCCTCATGTTTAATGAACATATTGCAGATGTTTATATGTGCCATCAAATGAACTTCTCTGAGTTCATGTGGAACCCAAATATCGAGCTTGCTTACGTATCTCAGCTTCTTCAGGTGGTCATGAATGCTTGAATGATGGATGTTCAATGTTTCTGCAATCTCTTGTGTCATGTAACATGGGTTTGACACGATCAATGCCTTCATTTTGTCCTCATCAACCTCGGTGGGCCTCCCTGACTGAGGAGCATCGTTGAGATCAAAACCACCAGCACGGAACCATCGTTGGCACTGATGTTCTTGTAGAGCATTGTCACCGTAAACTTTATGCAACTTTTCACAAAGCTCGATCCTTTATGGAAGTAAAATATGTCAAAACTGCAGTTTGGTCTTCCATCTTCAACTTGTAAAATCTCCAAAACAACCAAATTGCTCCATTAAAAAAAAAAAATGAAGCTAGAACTGTCAGCTGTCAAATGACATAGCAATAACATAGATGCGAATGACTCTAGTACTTCCAAAAATGAACTTGTGACATCTGTTGCAAACATGCGTCATGACTTTTCCGAAGACCCAATCAATAGTCTAAACAGAGTTCCACAGACGCTTTTAGAAAGTTTGTACATTACAAATGTGCATCGTTTCAGAAAATACCAGGAATAACGACAGTTTTCCTGGGCAGTAAAATATTTTCAGCTTTATGTAATATGTAAGAATGTATAGAATCATCTAGTGGCACACAGAATTATTTTTTAATCCATTATCAACAGGGTCGGCTCCCTTTTGCCTTTACCCACTCACTACATAGTCCAAGTAATTCACGTTCATCCACCACGGAAAAGGGAACCAGAGCAGTGCAGTCACATCTTGAAGGATCTTTGCAGAATCAACATTGCCTGGCTGGGAGACAGGGCGAGAGGGAGCAGGGAAGCCCTGCCCTTCTGTTTCAGGTGTTCAGGACAGAGGTTCAGCGTCTGCTTTCATGATGGAGACGGAGAGACAGAGGAGCCAACGTTTACTCAGCACCTGTTACCCGGGAGGCTCTTTTACAAAAAGGTATTATCATATCATTTTATATTATTCCAACAAGACTAGATATCATTAATTCCAATTCAAAGATGAAGAAACCGAAGTGCAGGAAAGCTGAAAATGACCAAATGATGCCATGTGATGCCTGGGCGGCAGAGCCAGGACGGGGGGCTGGTTTGCTCAGCTGACGTCCATGAGGAGTTACTAAGTGCCGTGTTTGTGTTAAGAATTTCACGTGTGTTAATTTTCAGAACTGCACAGTAGAAACGAATAGTACCTCTAGTTTACAAATGATAAAACTGAGGTCACACAGCTACGAGGTGGTAAAACTGGTATTTGTCTCCAGATTCACAGGTTATCAGAGTCTGTGCTCTTAACCACTGAATTTTCCTTCCAAAATTGTGTACAGCTTCCAATTCAATGGGATAAAACCTGATAGCCATGCACCGTAATGTACCTTCAGTCAACTTCTAATTCTCAAAAACCCTTGTGTTTGTTTTCATGATGTGGTTCATTTTGCATTTCAAGATTATGAATGGGATATTACGGGGGAGGGGGCAAGAAAATGACAATGCTATTCTGAATAATATTAAAGCAAGGAACAGTTAGCAATCTAGGTAACTTCCTAATTTGGTTCCCCTACTTAAAATCATTTCCCTTTTTTCTATTCTCAGATAAGGAGAGATCTCACCTCTTCTTATATTTAAATAAAGCACCAGGCTAAATTGAGCGCTTTTTCTCCTCTCCCTACCCCTTTTTGTTTTTCTTGCTAAATCATAAGAAATAATAAAATGTTTTGGCCTTGAAAATCTGCTAGTCTGTAAGAGATTTTAAAAATTATGTCAATATAGGGGCCGGCCGAGTGGCGCGATGGTTAAGAACTCGCTTGGGATGCCAGAGGGCCCCGGTTCGGATCCCACATATGAGGGCCAGTGACACTGCCCTCCAC